GGGTTTGCCTGCACCCGCAGCGGTAAGTGTGGCTCTTTGCTGCTGAAAACATCTGGAGGGTGGCAGAATTCTTCAGCCAAGTTCAGCTTGGTTTAGCTTGGTTTGTGTGAGCTTGTCGATGATGCTGTTTAATGTTTCTGTTCTTAGAGTAGCCAGAGCACCAGAAATGTAAAGGTCTCTCCACAGACAGGTCACACTCAGAGCCTGTGTTTAGGAATAATACGTAATGAGTGTGCAATGGAACAAGTTTGTCCAGAGTTGTGTTCCCAGACTGCATTCCCTGAGCCTGTGCATCAGCAGAGGTAACCTCTATCTAGCCATTACTGGAAAGAGGTCTTTGCTGTGGTATTCAGTGGTATTTAATGAATAATAAGACATTGCATTAATTAGTATTAGGTCTGATTTGGTGACATGTAATTTGGGGGGAAGGATTACAGAGTAAGTATTTGAATGAGAATTTTTATAGGACAGAGTCAAAATGAGATTAGCAGTCTCACTACGCAGGGAGCCCAGAGGCTGACGTGTGTGTGTTTAGCAACTGATGCAGATAGAGCACAACTTTATTTAGTGGTGGGAAAAGAACGTGTAGCTGTTATTTACCTTTATGTGTCACCCTGTATAATGTGCGCCTCAGTCACCATGAAAGAGAAAAGCAAACAGGCACCATTTCAGCAGAAACGCCCTGTGGTGCTCAGCACCACATGTGACGTACGTGTGCAGAGGGATTTCAGCATGCCACAGGTGGGATCCTTCAATAGGAATGGAAGAAGGAAGTTTGTCTCCCTGATGTGCCCAAGCCCCACTGAGGACACGAGGAGCAGAACCAGCGCCTGGTCCCTGGCGCAGCCTTGACCCATGCGTGCTCTCCATGCAGAGGGCACCAGGTTATGTCTAGTCCAACGTGAGTGCCCCAAGCAGCACATGGGTTTGATGCAGTGACATGTGGTGTAGGACCCCTCACTGTCTGCTCCAGATAGCAACCGGTCCTCACTGTCCTGTGTTACCTGCTAATATAGCCACCAGCCATGCCCTCTGCCCAAGCCTTTATTTTCCCCAGCTTGTGACCACCATTGCTGTGGAAAAGCTCTGCAGACAAGTGAGGACCCACAGACTCAGTGGGTTGGCCACAAGTGGGTTTTATGAACCAGGATGGAATGCAGGTCTTGCCCTTTCATTTGGTCAGCTTGGCTTTGAAAAGCTCCAGAGCATTCTGGAAAGCAGTACAGCAATATGATAGGATTTAATCAGACTTAATTATTCCCCTGCTGTCGATCTCCTAGCAACATCCAGCTTGACATCTGCCTGCGAATGAAACATGTAAGCTAAGTAGGAACATGTTCAGACTGAAGTCCTGCTACTTGAACCAAATCACTCCACTAATCATTGCCTTAATTCATTTCGTGGCTGTTAGACAGCTGCCGGGAGCTGGTACCTGATTTCCATGGATGTGCTGCACTTGCCTCCTGATCTTTTTCCAGGCTGAAAAAAGCGTGACTTCATCCTGGGCTCTTTCCAGCACACCGACACCTGATAACAGGGGGTAGAGTTTCTCGAATGACAAACATGGGCTCAGGAGCAAGCCTCAGCCTTGTCATTATCTGTCTTGGTGCTGTAGGTCCCCGCTTATCATCCAAATCAGATCACCCGCTGTGCCTGCAGAGTGCAGGGTGTAAACTCTAAGTGCACAAGCAGTAGAGTAGGGACAGTTTAGGTGAGGCTTGAGGATGGTCAGAGCAGATGTGGTGCAGCAGCGGCAGGCATTGCAGGCAGCTCCATGTTGTTCGGACATGGTGGGGGTCAGGACAAGGAGAAGAGACCTGGCTTACACAGATGGAGGGATGAAGAGGTGAAGAGAGGTGCTGGCATAAAGCGTTTGTAAAGCAAAGCTGGGCTCCAGCAAGATACAATGCAGTACAGGGGTCAGTGGGGTTATTGGAGAGAATAAGCCTGTTGTCTGAGCCGGGGCTGGCAGAGGAGGCTGCACGGCCTGGCGTTGGCTTCTGTGAAGCTGTGAAGCCGGGGATAAGGATGCTGCCTTGGCTGTGTGAGAGCAACCGGCATCCTGAGAGAGTCAGCACTGGGGAGCTGGGGGTTGATGTGAGCAGCAGTGTGGGGAGCAGACCTGCTGATGGATGTGCCCCTTCTCCATGTACTTCCTCAAGGGGGATATGGGTACCAGTGGTCCCTGAGTGTTGGCATGAGTCTGCTGGTCCCCTGTGCTGTATCTAGAAGTTATTTGCATCCAAAAAACCATAATAGGACATTAGTGCAACACATGTCTCTGTGGAGGATTGTGGCAGGTCTGTGAGCCTGGCTGTGTGGGTGCCACACTTGCAGTCAGCTCACACTGACTTCACTCATGGTGAGCACAAAGGGAGCTTCTGGCTGTGAATGTGGGACTGGGGGAGTCCCCGGCTGCTCTCCCTGTGACCTGCGTGGACTCTGCCTCTCTCGCCAAGTGCTGGGGAGCAGAGTCAGACAGTGCTCATTTGGCTGTGTGCCCTCCAAGGCAATGTCTGCCGGTCAGCACAAGCACCTGGGCTTGCCTGCAAGTGGGAGCTGCCACCACACTGGACATCATCCTACTTGGTTTCCCTTAAACTCATGTGGCTTTTTGTTTTGCTTGTTATCAGTGTCTCATGGAGGATGAAAACAGCAAACCAAAACCATTGGGCTGCTTTGCTGTCCTGATGATGCAGGTTTACTCCTTATGGTCTCTTTCCTATCAGATGACTCCCCCACCACCCCCCCACGCCTAATAATTCTCTGCTTTATCATTCCCTCCCTGTGTTGCCTTGTACTTGTGTTTCTCACTGGTCCTGTGCCTAATGAGTATTAAGTCTACCCAGCAAGGCTGTGGGGCCAACAGGAAGGAGGGCAATGCTATGGGAAGGATGAGGTGTGGGCTGGCCCCACCACTGCAGTGAGAAGGTGGAGATGTAATCTAACAGGAACTGTGCGGTGTGAGCTGTACTGTGCTGTGGGAGGGCAGCTGATGCAGTCTGCGCAGCCCAGTGTGGTCCTTGTGTTATCCCTAAAATGAGGGTTCTTCATGCGGTGTGCAATAAGCCAATCAACACACAGGGTCGAGATACTTGTTTTTATTTCAGTTCTGCAGAATCAGGTGCTAGGCATCTAACAGAGCCGGCACACAGGCATTTCGATTCGCCTGATATTTATAGTAGCAAGATACAACTGATTGGAGGACAAAAATTTCCTCTACTGCCCATGATTACACATTTTAATGTTTATGCATTTAGCTTCACGTTTAAAACAATTAGGGTGGTCCCCTAACTATCATGCTCATTATTCACAATGGGGTGTGTATCTTGGCATTGTAACTATCCAAGGTTAGTTAAGGATCCACTCTGTACAAAGACATACATGTGTATTTAAGTCAGTAAACATAAAACTGCGAACCAGAAGTTTACAGCCTTTCTTACCTTGGGGATTTCCCTGCTGACGTTGTTCTCCAAGGTTAGATACATCCCACTGTTTCAACACAGGGTTGCTCATTTTACAACTTTTAACCTTACTTTTGCACATCACTTGCAGCCTGGCATGATCCAGCAGTAGGCTGAGCAATGCTTGGGAAGCTCAGGGATGTGACACATAGTGTGCAGTGGCTGGGCAGCACCTTGCTGCGTACGCAGTGGTGTAAGGACCTGCAGAATTTGGAGGGTAGCGTGAAGGCAGTGACCTAGGCCAGTGGCTGAGTGCTAAACTGGACTGTGTGGCATAGCTAGGTGCAGTGCGGTTCAGTGACTGGAAGCAAGACGGTGTTGGGCTGCTCCATGTAGTGAATGCAGGCTAGGCTGTGCAGTGAGCAATGCAGTGGTGAGAGCTGCTCTGCGCAGTGTCCAGAGGTAGGGCAGTGCCACAGTTGAAGGGAGATGCAGTGCACTACAATGCAGTGACTCGACGCTAGGCAATGCAACATCACTGCTGGGATGCAGCAGCTGGTTAGGAGGGAGGTGTGGTACAGTGTCTGGGGGGACTGCGAGACCTGGAGGTGTCTCAGGGGCAGGAAGGTGCAGTGTTGTGCAGTGCTTGGAACAGCGACACAATGCAGAGCTTGACAGTGCTCCTGCAGCGCCGTGTCTGGAGGAAGCTTAGCGGAGTGCTTGGAGTCACCACAAGGGTTTGGAGGTGCCCGGGTGACCTGGCAGCGGGGCAGCGATTTGAAGGAGGAGCAGTGCCCCTTAGCCGCCGAAGCGCGCGCGCACGCAGTGCAGCGCACCGATTAACGGGGGGGGATTTACTAAGAGGTCTCTGCGCACGCGCGCCACCGCCCTGCCGCAGCGCCCCTCCGGCGACGACCCCCAGCCGCCCTCCCTCCCGCCATTGGCTGCGGGCGCGGCCCCCCGCACCGCTCCATTGGCTGGCGGCGGCCGCTATGCGGGCGGGTCGGCAGCGCTGCGGCCCGCCCCGGCGCCCCATTGGCGGCCGCTGTGCCCCTCAGAGCCGCGGCGGCCGGTCCCGCTGCGCCGCGCCCGGCATGGCGGCGCCCGCAGCCCCGCGACCGGGGGCCGCAGCCGGCGGCCGAGCCCCCAGCGCCGGCGGCTGCCGGGTGAGGAGGGGTGGGGGGGGGATCCAGCAGGGCCGGGGCTGGAAGCGGAGCTCGGCGAGGCGGGGACAGGCGGCGGGGTGCCCGGCCCGCGCCCTGCTGTCTGCCCAGCGGTTCCCGTTCCAGTCCGGATTCCAGGCGGCCCTGATCCTCCGGCAGCGTCTTCCCTGCAGCGTGCCCGGGGCTCCTGCCGGGACCTGCTCGGCCTCCGGGCTCCCGCCGGCCCCGCTGTCCTGAGGCACCCCGGGCGCCCCGGGGCGCTGCGGGATGGCTGTGGCGCGTCCCGGCTGCCCTGCGCTTGGGTGGAGCGCGATGCTTGCCAGGCCCCGCTGTGTGTGGCGGTTTCGGAGGGTATTTATCTGAAGTGGACCGGGGCATAAATGTGGACGGAGACTTGCGGCGTTGCCCTGGGGCAGCGTGGCAGTGCCCTGCTGCCTCTTCGGAATGGCATTTACCCTTGTGAGACGAAAACCCCGCAGCTGCCGAGGGTGGTCGTTATTATTTCACTGATGCAGGTCAGGTAGCACGCGAAGAGCGTGGGTTTGGATCTGTGTGTTACTGGAGGTGTGGGATTGTGTGTTTTGGGAGGATGACCGTCGGAGAAGGTGGCTCCAACCTCAACCTGTTTTTCTTTCTCAGGTCATGTAGAAGAGCAGATTTAATGTGAAGATGGGACTGTTGGTGTTTATGCGTAACCTGCTGCTAGCCCTCTGCCTCTTTCTGGTACTGGGATTTCTGTACTATTCTGCTTGGAAGTTGCACCTCCTCAGATGGGAAGATTCAAGTAAGTATGAGCACCGTGTAACTCCTTCTGGGCTCCCTGAAACGACTGTCAAATTGTTGCAATAGTACTGAGGTGATTCTGATTTACCAGTATTAGTGGGATGTGATTAAGCCCAATCAAATGCTGGAGCTTTTAGTATGCTTAAGGGGTTGAATTTGTGATTACCTAATGCTCTTTATGGCTTTACTTTTATTACTGGTACAAAAGCAGGTTCACACTCTATAATTGTAATATTAAAAATTCCAGTTCTTACAATATCCTATGTTAGTTTATTCTTAATTGTCAAAATAGTTTTATGTGCTGAAGCATTTGTTCCCTGAACATTTCTGTGCATTTTACAGTATCTGAGGTGAGGTTTTTTCCCTCTGGTGGATTTTAATTTCCTTTTGTAATCATATATGCTGGCTATCTCGTCATCTTTCTTTGTCCTTCAGAAATCCTCATCTTCCATTTATCTGCCAAATATCTCTCATCTGAAAGGATGTCTCTCAATCTCCTTAAGTCTAAAGAGACATCTGACCTCATTGAATACAATCTGAGGATTGTACTGTGCAGTAATGCTATAGGAGGTTTTAGCTGCAAAGGGATATAAATTAGGCTGAAGTTTGATTGCTCAGTAACTGCTCTTATTTTTGCTTGTGGTGATTGCTTTCTTGTTTGCTCGTGAAAAGTGTTTGTTGAAAATATCAATTCATTCCTCTCCCCCTCCTGCCCAAAACACAAGCCAGCCTTCTTTGCAGCTGTTCCACGGGCTGTTTCAGACCTCTCTCAGCTGACCACTGCTCCCTGGATCAGTGGCTGAGAAACACTCATCCAGAAGGATTGTTTTCCAGTCTGACAAAAAAGCTGTCCGTCAAATTCCTTCTTCGCTGTGTAGCATTACTGTGCATACTGCTGGAGATTTCTGCTGTAATACTTATTGCATTTAATGTTGTTATACCTCTGTATGCTCTGTATGTGTTGGTACATGTTCTAATTTTTGCATGATGACGGATGATGACTTGGATGTGGCATTTGCACTGATGAAGTGATTTTGACAGGAGGGCTCTTAAGGTGTCCTGTACCAGAACAGGTATTGTAAGACTGAATTTTTGAAAGGAAATGCATAGTTGCTTTCTGAGCAGGGATTGTTGCTTCAGGTTTGTTCTTCAGAGAGGGAGTCCAATCTTGATTGTGACCTTCTGAGAACTAACACTTTTGTCAATGAAGTATAGAAAATCCTTCCTGCATGAAAAGAAGTACAAAATGTAGTTAAAAGGACATTTATGTGTCTCTACCACGTGATGATCTGTTATGAAATTATACCACCTGCTATCCTCTACTTCATTCGTACCACCAAAAATTATGCTGGGACTTCCCAAGGCCTGCAAAAAAACCCTTCGGGCCACAGCTTGTATGTGAACTTTGTTAAACGTGGAGGAGAAGCGCTGTGTTTATATGCCACATACCAAGGTGCTGGCATGAGTTTTAAATTTCTTCAGGTTTCACCTCTTTGGATTTTGTGCTTTTAGTTTCCTGTGCCGTTTGTTATTTTATGCCATGACAGTCCCTGGGGAGTTCTGTGGTAACTTTTGTCGGAGTTTTGTGATGCAGCATTGCAAATCAGTGTGCAAACATTGTGGATTGCTAAAAATGAATGCTTCTACCTGGAAAGATGACTTTAAGTTCCAGCCAAGTTAGAGTGATTTCTGTTGAGCATACTGGCTGCTTTTGGATGTTCTGACAGGAGCCCTGTGAGGTGATGTCACAGGCTTTTTGCTAGCTGTGTGTCTCCTTTTAAATCATCTTGTATATAAAATATGTTCTTCATTTATTCTCGGAAGTCGCAGTGCTTGCATTAAGCTTATTCAGCTAGTTTGAAGAATAAGCTTATTGATCTTTATCAGCTGTCACAGTGGATATGGGCTGTACTGTTGTTTGTTTTCTTCTAGACGCTTGTATAGATTGTGTCTCAAATATCAGATGAAGCTCCTGGAAATGTTAGTGTAAACACCAGTCCAGTGTGAGAGGGCAAGATTCCGTGATTACTTTTGGAAACAGCTAAGATGATACCAGTTTTCAGTTGATCTTAAAGGAGTTTTGCATGAATCAAAAAAAGTTTTGTTTATCGTGGAATTTTGTGCATGAGGAACTTACGCAGATTTAAAATACAAATTTAAAAGCCTATAGTGGGAAACTTGATACAACCAGTTAATGTTAAGCTTCTATAAATAAACATTTGGAAGTTAACAAATGACAGAGTTGAAGTTGCTCATTTAACCATGATTAGGCTTTCTTGAGCATGAGTAATATGATACAATGTGTAATGGTGCAATTATACTTTCTATTTTGTGAAGGGGAGTCTTAGCTCATTTCACAAGACAGGGTGGTGCTTGATAGCCATTCATGGGTTTATATCCTGAATTACAATTCAGTGTGTGACCTTGTAAGTCTCCTTAAGCTTGATACGATCATGCTGACGTCCCCAAAGGCAAAACTGAGTTAGATGTGTTAGCTTTAGGGTGCTTCATTTAAGATTATTGGGTTTGATGTGTAAGTTATCTTCTTATTCAATTGTTTTTTCTTTCTTTGTGACCAGTGTCTTTATTTTGTTTGTGACTCCTTAGTTTCAGTAATCGCATTCGTCTTTGTTCTGTGTTGTGTGGAGAGGAGGCATGAAACTAAGCTGATCCTGATATCTGACACCCCTGCAATCTCTTCAGATGCTGATTTTAGTAAACTTGACACCTGCATTTAATAATGGACACAAATTTGCTCTAGAGTATGATGAAAAATACTTGATCTGCTTACTTGCTGCTTGTATGGTTTGTTCACTTGATGTTTTAGAAACTGCCTCTGTATGTTGTTGATACGGGTGAATTTGAATGATAACTGTAAGGAATCTGCTGCGACTTTGGAGTTTGTATATTTAGCTGCTATAGCAAGTGAATAAAGTAATTTGTTTGTTTGTACTTCTGACACCTCCAAGAAAGGAGGCTAAACTTTGAATAGACTGAAAGATAGGAATCGGTGTTTTTCTTATCATTTCCATTTAAATCTGTCCTCCTTGAGTGATGCCTTAGTGAGTTCTGAGAGATTCTTATCCTTACTGTGCGACTGTACACCTTGCCAAAATGCTGAAGAGATACAAAAGAATTAATTCTCTAAGGCTTATCTTTCTTGTGTGAAGAATAGATTGAATTCAGCTAATGTGAACTAATTAAGGTCGAATTAAATTCGACTGCTGCTTCAATTCAAGACAAACCTCCAGTGGCTAGCCCTCTGTCATCCTTTTAGTGACTGTCATGGTCGGCTACTCTTCCCTGAGCCTTGTTTGATGTTGGTGGCAATATAGTGTAAGTTCTCAGGGCAGCAACAAAGTGCAAAAAAATGGTGCGTAGCACTGTAGAAATGCAGGAGGGCCTTTGAGTTCTGGTGATTGTTTGGAGTTTATGAACAGTGTTTAGGATAGAGGTACACTTTCCTTTTTCTTTTTTCTGTCCTGATTTCTGTAATACAGTTTCAGTCTCTGACAATAGTGGTAAGAGTTGAACACTGTCCTTGCATGTTCTTCCCAGACAGGCAACAGTGACAGATGCTGCAGCTCTCTGATTAAGTGTTGAGTTGCATGAAGGGTGTTAAGCACGCAGAACTGATAACACAATGTGGGAGACAAACAAGGAAATAAGAATTTTGCTATCAGGTTTAGCTGTCATGTACATTCTAGAAGGACCTTGCAGCAGCAGATAATTATAACTCTGTTCGCTGTGTTTCTGGACACTGAGTTATCAGGGAATTCTTACATAGTACTGGTAGTGACAGGAACAGGTTTGGAAGGTCAGGTGCACTACAGCCTTTTCCTAATAGCTTCTGGTCCTATTGGTTTCACCTTTCCTGATGCATTTGGCTCTGTGGAGGAAGGAAGATGTTATCTGTATGAGTGTGAAAAAGACAGCACACAGGAAGGTACCCCATTATCTTTGAAAAGTATGATGGGTGATGGAATTGAGCTGACAGTGCCTCGTAGATTTGCCTCATCAGCTCGGAGGAATGCATTTTTACCCATAACTGAAGGACAGGATATAGTCATAGTAAAATTTAATGCTGATGTTTATTATTTAACCCAGTATGTGTATAGCTAATTTTGCAACTTAAAAATGAATGTGTTGTAAGGAAGGAATGATTCCATTAAAAATGTCCTGGCTATGGAAATATTGAACTCATTCCCCCAAGGCAGATTTTTTTTTTTGCCCTCTGAAAGTATTGAAATATACTTCAGAAAAGGACAGTGTGATGCTGTTTTCCTGTTCCCTGTTGCATTTAGCATTGAATGAATTTAAAGAAAAACATACTTTACTTTAGGTACTTTTGCCAAACCCTGAGTTAATACAATTTGTAGCTGTAGATTTTGAGCTTGTCAGTTTGAATGTGGCTTTTGAAACATCTCCAGGTACATTCTGTTGATGCCTCCATAAAGAAATCGAGTCATTACTCTGTCATCTGTTGCTCTGTGTTATTTTCAACCCTAATGCTGGAAAGGCAGCCAAAGAGATAAAGCTCTGGGAAGAGATTTTCTGAAGGTATTTCAGGACCCTTATCCTTTTCATACTTTTTTTTTTTAATGTCTGTTTCCATGGGAACTGAGGAGACATAAACAGGCAAAACTGACTCACTTCTGGTTGCAGGTTTTTACTTTGCTTGCATTTCCATGGAAACCAGTCTCGCAGCAAAAAAAAAGGCTAAATTAGCCAAAAGCAATCATACCTTTATCTTTAATATACCAATTTCTCTCAAAGTGAAGTAGTATGTTTGTCAATTCCTGTACAGGGGACTAAGAATGTGTCAAAGAAATGGATCTTTTTATAAGGGTTTGGAATGAGTATGCTCTTTTGCATGTGGCTAAAGCTTCACAGTCTGTGTGATGATACATAGTGTGGGTACAACTGTTATATCTTGAGTTACTAGGGGTGTCATTTGTTCTACGTTAAGGAGGTGGATCTTGCATACACTGACATCTCACT